CGGCGATCACCCAGCCAATTACCGAGGATGCAGTGTCTATAAGGAACTACAACGTCGTAAAACACCCGCCGCAAAAAGTAATTTCTTACAGGATAATATTAAGCTTAACGTAAACAATTTTAATGTAAAAGCGAACCACCCATTACCAAACTTGTCAGAAAAAAACATAACAGACCCCCCTAAAACATATGCTAAGGCCACTTCTAGCCACCCATCACAATCGTCTCCTTCTGCTCCCTCTACAGATCTAACAACAACCATATCCTCTTTTGTAGACGAACTCAAGTCACTCATCAATCCGCTAATCGCTCTTCTAACCCAAGTAATTACTTCACTTCTTAACAAAAAAAATGAATAACTCATTCACTAGCAGCTCATTATCAATCATATTATTCAATGCCAACGGTCTAAAAAATCACGTCAATCAATTGCAAAGTGTGTTATTTGATAAACGCATTGACATCGCCTTAATTTCCGAAACACACTTTACCAAGTATTCTTACATATCTATTCCTGGCTACAGCTTACTCAAATCCAACCATCCAGATGGCACCGCACACGGTGGAGCAGCCATACTCATAAAATCAAATCTTAAATTTCACCCTCTCATCAATTACTCTCAAAATCATATCCAATCGTGTGCTATCTCCATTAAAATAAATAAAATCCCAGTTATCATCGCCGCAATCTATAGTCCTCCTAGGCACAATTTAACTATTAACAACCTCGCTGACTTTTTTGACTCAACGGTCAATAATTTCATTATTGGTGGTGATTATAATGCAAAGCACCAAAGCTGGGGCTGCCGAGTCACCAACCCTAGAGGTAACCTACTTTACAATTTCACCAATTTAAAAAAATACAAAATACTCGCGCCACCTAGGCCAACGTACTGGCCAACATCTATTAGGAAAAAACCTGACATTCTCGACATCTTTGTCACAAAAATTCCCAGCAACTTATACTGTTCTATCAACAATACTCTGGATTTAAACTCTGACCACTCATCCGTTATTCTCAATATAGATGCCACTCCACAAACACGAACTGACAGACCTAAGCTTTTTACGGCATCAACTAATCGCCTCAAATTTCATAATATTATAGCCGAAAAAATTAACCTAAAAATTAGTCTGAAATCTGATCATGAAATTGACGACGCAATCAACAACTTAACAACGCTCATCCAATCAGCGGCTTCTATATCAAACACCTCTAACACCACCAAAAATGCGTTACATAATTACCCTTTTATCTCTGAACAGGTACGCTCACTAATAGTTGAAAAACGTAGAGCAAGGGCTCGTTACCAAATCTCACGACTACCCACGCATAAAAGCGCCTATAACAAATTAGCAAATGCACTAAAAAAATGCTTGGCTAAAAACAAATCCGACATGTACGAACAAAAACTAACCACACTCTCCTCTACAGACGGAAGCTTATGGAGAGAAACCAAAAAATTACTTCTGTATAAACCTCCCTCAATCCCTCTAAAGAAACCCGATGCTTCATTTGCCTTCTCTGACATTGATAAGGCTGAAGTCTTTAAAGATCATCTTCATAACACGTTTCAACCGCATCTTGACATACTCTCACCCAATCATATAGCTGAGGTAAACACCTATTTAGACCTTCCATCTCCAATCAGTCGGCCAGAAAAACACTTTACCCCAAAAGAAGTTAAACAAACCATCCAAAAATATTCACTTAAAAAATCACCCGGCTTCGATCTGATTACAGCTGAAGTAGCTAGGTGCCTCCCCAAAAAAGCTATAGTTCTCATAACATATATATTTAATGCTATACTCAGACTATCATATTTTCCGATTTTATGGAAATTCTCAAAAATTATTCTTTTCCCTAAGTCCGACAAGCCACTTGATACTCCATCATCTTACAGACCAATAAGCCTCTTGCCCTTCCTATCAAAAATTTTAGAAAGGCTTATCTTAAAACGCTTATTACCGCATATTATTAGTAACAACATACTGCCAAACACGCAATTTGGATTCCGCAACGCACATAGTACGATACATCAAGTTCATCGTGTTGTCGATGTTATTTCTGCGTCCCTGGAAAAAAAACTCTACTGCTCTTGTGCTTTTCTTGACGTTGCCCAAGCCTTCGATCGGGTTTGGCACGAAGGCTTGCAATTCAAACTCAAAAAATTTCTCCCCCCGTCATTATTTCTACTAATTAAATCCTACCTAACTGATAGACACTTTCAAGTCCAATATAACTCATCGACGTCCGGAATCGCACCAATTAAAGCTGGTGTACCACAAGGTGGAATACTCTCCCCCTTTCTCTTTAACATTTACGTAGCCGACCAACCCACCATGCGACAAACTATAGTAGCTGATTACGCCGACGATAAAGTAATTTTATCTATCAATGAAGATCCTGTAATTGCATCATCAAACTTACAAATGCATCTCAATCTCTTGTCTGAGTGGTATGAAAAATGGCGTCTCCAAATTAACCCAAATAAATCGGTACACACAACGTTCACGCTCAAACAAGGCATATGCCCAAACATTACCCTTAACAACATACCAATTCCCACATCCGACACGGTCAGATACTTAGGGCTAATACTTGACAAAAGACTGACGTGGAAAAACCACCTTCAATCCAAAAGATTATCCTTAAACAATCGCATGCGTATTCTCAGACCCCTGTTAATTAGAAATAAGCATTCCCCCCTTAACATCAAACTTCTAATCTACAAATCCCTTCTCAAGCCAATGTGGACTTATGGACTACAACTATGGGGTGCGGCAAAAAAATCAAATATTAACAGAATCCAAACATTCCAAAACATTTCGCTCCGACGTTTATCCAATGCTCCCCCCTATATCTCTAATCTAGCCCTTCATAACGATCTCTGTATGAGAACAATAGAAGCGGAAGCACGCATTTTCTATACACGTTTCCATAAACGACTTCAAACCCATACAAATCCTCTTATAAAAGACCTTTCTATCCTCACACTCCCAGGAAACCCTAACCGTAGGTTAAAAAGGAAGTGGTGCCGTGACCTCTTACAAAACTACAATGTCTAACTCTCTGAAAATATAACTAAACATTTAAAAAAAAAATTATCATTAGCCAAGAACCACTAATGGGTGGTTGCTTATTCAAAACTATCATGTTCTATTACTCTTATCATATAAACTTATTGTGCTTAAATAGTATAGATTGTTTATACCAAATAAAAATAAAAAAAAAAAAAAAAAGATTTTAGTAAAAAGAACAAGTTAACACTTTTCTTTTTTTTAAGTAACTGTTAGATACTTATTATTTATTGATATTCAAAAATACTATTAAATTTGTATCAGTTATTAAAACTTATTTAATCTTTCTGGTGGTACTCGCCGTCAGTAAGTAAATTAATGGCTTTAAAAATGTTTGTGCAATCAGCAAAAAATAAAATTAATCGAATAGCCAATATCATTTATAAATACAATGAATAAAAGAAGAGAAAGGTAATCACCTTGTGGAACATCGAAGATGACATCAATCTTTAGAAATACAATTTTTAATTTTGCGACATTTACTTTTTATTCAGTTGTTATGCCTACCACTGTACTCGTAATACGCACAGCCGCACAGGTTACATAAAGCTAACATATACGCTATAATAAAAATAGTCAGAATGTCTTGTCCTTATGATACTCGCAACATACTAAATGTGGTCATGTGGATACAATGCACCAACTTTTTTGTCATATGAATAAAATAAATCCTGAATAGGAACATTTCACTTTTTTATTGGACCACATATACAGAAAACACTTTAACGACATTAATATCAATTATTGCTATGTAATAAAAGTGTATAAATTATAGCCCACGTTTTTTTTACCGAATACGAACGTTTATTGAAAACGTTACGAATCACTTAAAACAAGACGTGTAACTAACACAAAGTATAAAAAATATTACTTTTCATCGAAAACAAAATAAAAGAATATTAGTGTACTAATGTCGTTAAGAAAACAGAAATGATGAGAAATCGTTATATCACTGCGAATAAAACCGTTCATTTTTTTATTGCCAATATTTATTTTCACGGAAATAAGTTAATGCGATTTCTATTTTCGAGGAAACGAAATAAATCGATGTTGCTTGCTTGTTAACCGATGTATCGCAGTACAGGAGTCGCGGAACAAAACGGCTTAGCTATTATCAGTATCGTCGTCAAATACTCGCGTAGGTGCCCAACACCGAGTTTCGAGTATAGGTACTGAGGTATTTTTTTTATTTTTTTTAATTCGATCTACCGCGTAGTATACTACAATATCTCTCCCTCACTCGGCGGATACTCGCGTTCGCAGGACGTTCTCCCGAAGTCTCGGCGAAAGCGCCCATTAAAAGACGATAGTAAGTGACGATGCAGGACTCGACGAAACGCGAGCGAATGCGGCCGTGAGAAACGGATGTTTTAATGGAAAATACGCTCGAACACGACGACGGGGGAAACGACGTAACGTTCGTGGCTCGTGTTACGCTTTTTTTTTTTTTTTTGGGAACGAATTAATACACTTGTACACCAATTTTGAAATGTCGCCCGTGGGGACCTAGCGCGTATACGAGCGCCCTTTCGTACGACAGTATAATCCCGTAAAGGTCCAACACGCCTTTGGGTCTACGACCGCGTCCGGTCCGGTCCCCGTCGCTGCGATACCGTATACCACGCTTGGGCGATGTCGTACACGTCATAACGTTACGCGGCGCACGCTACTCACACACACACACACACACACACCCGCGCGCGTAGCCAACACCAGTCACTCCTCTTCACCGATCCCCTTCCAAACGGCAACAATAATAGTAATAATAATAATAATAATAATAATACGTCGGCGTAATAATAATAATAATAATAATAATACGTCTGCGTTCAGGCGGCGGCGAACTGGAGGAGGAAACGGCGACGGCGGCAGCGTGTTGATACCCGGCGAGGCCTCTGTCCGACGCAGTCTGTGCGTAACCATCGCGTCGGTAGTGTCTGGTTCGCGGCCATTGTTGGATTACGTGCCGCCGGTTTGTGTTCGACGCGTTCGCGCTTCGCATTGTCGCGCATTCTTCCGTTCGGACACAGCGCGCAAACGCCATCGTCTTTGCCTAAGGTCAGTACTGCTCTACAATATAAAATTTAGAAAAAACAATCGCGTTCGGGACGAATGTAACGGTCCCCTGCGGACCGGTTCGGTCGAAAACGGAGGGAAAACGCGATACCGTTCGGTGGGTTACACAATGACGCGGTGCGAATAATAGGAAAATCCCGGGCGTTCGACTTTCACGCCGTGTTCCGCCGGCCAAACGATAAGTGTCCATTTGGGCGATAACCGACCCCCCCCCCCCTCCCCATTGATTGTTATCGTTATGCTCCGCGTTAGTATTATTATTATTATTATTATTATTTGCTTGCGATAGAATGCCCTTTTGGGAAAAACACGACGACGTTTTTATTGCTGTAGTACGCCCGCACATCTTACACGGCGGCGGCGGTTATCGTCGGCGCGGTGGCTTCAGAGTTCAGACCGATCCGCACTGAAACCGATTCGCGGACGGATTTCCGATTCCTCCGTCCGCGGCGTAGTGGTCGTGCGAGCAACAAGAAAAATAATAATAACAGCATAGTATAGACATAGTACAATATAGTATTGTTGTTGTTATTATTATTATTATCATCACCATCCTCCTCGTTGTCGTCGTCGGACACCGCCGCGTTCACCAATCCCTTGCCACCAGCAACAATCTCGAGAAAACATCTCGCTGACGCGTTTTACGTCGTCCATTCAACGGGAACCGGCGACCCTTATCAAATAGTATTTTTCATTCTACCGAATATTGTGTACGCGAGTGTGTGTGCGTATATCGCTGGGGTTGTACAATGGGTCTCTGGACGGGGCAGAGGTCGTGGTACCTATTATTGTATTACACGATAACCGTGTGCAACGTGCGTCCGATATACGTCGCACACCAGCCGCTGTGTAATGTTAAAATAACAATGCGGTCGCAGTCGTATTTTTTTTTTTTTGCTACCTGCCGACGGAATCCTCGCATGTGTTAGTCGTACAGTACCCTCCCGAGTAAATCGAAAACACATTTTACGGTCGAATCGGTCGGCTCCGACCGCTGATAATAGTATATAACTACCACTGCGAACGGCGCCCAAACAAAGTACCGTGTGCACGATAGTCCGTGTTTCAAGGGAAGAACATCGTCTTCGTGTCTTCTTCGTTTTGGATGATGTCTACGCGCAGAACAAAGATATTATATGAATTATAACGAAAAATGATTTTTTAATCCAACGGCTATAATATTATAGTACGTTCGCGTCCGGCGGCTGCAGCTGCTCGGGCGGGCGTCGAGAATATACCCGTAATAAATATTTACGTCCGTTGTGTGTAGCCAATGACCTCTCTGTGTCTTCTGTTTCTATTCCAAACACCAGTTCCCAATATAAAAACCTACACAACTGGAAAGCCAATTATTAGTCTATATTAGTATATTATATTTTATCGTTTTCCGTCTAAATATTTTATGTACTGAACAAAGTTGGAGAGAATTAAAACAGAATTATTAGTCTCTTCTGAAAATTTAAAAGTTAATTATAATATGATAACGTTATTTACGTTTTTAGTAAATTTTACGTAATAGATTCAAATAATATATTATTATAGGTATTTATATAAACAATTGCAGTTATACGTTTGTTAGGGATAATCATGTATATTAATATTGTAAATAACAGGAAAGACTAATTTGTTTATTGATAAGATTATGAAATATTGCCTCAATAATTCAAGAAACAAAATAAAACTAAATTATTAGGTAGTAATTAGTAGAGTTTAATATGGAAATGAGTTATTTTCAGTAAAAATGTGCTAAATATAAAACCATTATAAACAATTTTAATTTATATCATGTCAATATTTTAGATTTCAAACGTTATATGAAAACAAATCTTAAGTATACAATTGATTATCTTAATACAGTTTGTTCATTTCCCCCTGGTTAGTTTAGTTGGTCTTTTTCGTTTATTTTTTTTTGTAAAGTTGTGAAGTTGTTGATAGATTAGAAAAATTCAAAAATATAATAAATTGCTGATTATTAATGCGTGTATTTATATCAAATTACGAGTGGACGTTGTCAGGTAATATTTATTACTTATATAGCTACATTAGTTTTAAAGTGATGTTTTTTTTTTTTGTGACCATTTCCTTTTGGAGCAATAAAAACTTTTGGGTTAGTTTCTGGTAACAAATTTGATCAAGTTGATATGCTTTGAAGAGGTCAAAAGTAAAAAAAAAAATATGGCTAACGGGAATATTTGCGCAAAACCAATTTTGATAAAATTCATTTAATTAAATATAATTTAAAATTATAAATAGCATCTAAAAACTTGAAACTTTTTACTTTCATTAAAGTCTAAAGTTACATATTATTTTCTGTTCTCAATTATACTTAAAAATATAAAGACCATATCTAGTTTTAAACTATTTATAGACATTGACATCTTAGAATTTTTTTCTACCACTTACCTATAATAATATGTTAATACAATTTGTAATATGTACTTTAAATAAACTTGAAAATCTAATAGAAGGTTTCTTACAAATTCTTCTACCTATTTATAAATATAGAAATTATAAGCGCAAATTTGTATATGCATCATTAAAATTAATATATTATTAAAATTGAATATTTAAACTAAAATATTTGAATTTTAATTCAAAAAAACATTACTTTAAGAAACTTTAGCAATTCTTCACGTATATTTTTATCTATTATACAAAATTATATTTTCAAAATATTTGGGCTAATTTTAAGTTATATAAACTAAATAGGTAGGTACTATAAACATATTTACACCATTCGACTGTATAATATGATATTATGCCAGTAGTCTTAGTATCTACTTATTAGGTAGATATAATTTGATAATGTTAAAATAATATCTTACATAGGTAACTTTTGATTTTATATTCCAATATTATTTTTTCACCATCCCTAATAATTTGAAAACAAAAACCATAACTATTTTTACCTATAGGTCGGTTCTAATGATTTGAGAATAAAGTATATTACATATTTTGTTTATTTTTTTTAGCAAAAATTTGTGAAAACTATTATTTAGTGATCATAAAAAAAATAGAAAATATCTTAAACAAGATATAGACTGGCGTATAATAGACTCTCCAAATTATTGTATTGAAATTTAAAATAATATCCATATTATTGACAAAGAATATTCCAAATATTTATAGTATATATCAGGGTGACATCATTGATTTATTAATTTCCTAAAATTTACATATTTTTTAATAATTTTAAACGTTTTTAGAACATAATCTCTGAGAATTTTAAATTAAATTTATCTCTCATTTTAAAAACATAGACTACATGTCTAAATGCCTATTGTGCATAAAGAATAAAAAAAAAATGAATAGTTTTCATGTTAACTAAAAAAAAAAATAATTAATTCATAATTTGAAAGAATCACATCAGTACTCATGAGTTGATACCTATATATTTGTTTAATCCTTTTTACATCCCAATTTTTTTACCGAATAAAATAATGCTTTCAAACTAAACCTTAAACATTTTAAATCATTTTATTTATTCATGCCAACAAAATTTAAATAAACAAAGGAAGAGTTTTACATTTGTTTTTATGATTATATGAACATATTTTATCATTTGAATATAATATGTAAACATTGTAAACAATATATCCAATTACTTAACAATATTCCAATCAAAAAAATCTATACATTTCGTAACTTAAAATTATTTTAGTTATCTTAGTATGTGTACATTTTTTATTTTCTCATAAATAATAGTAATAATACTAGGTATTATTAGTATTTGAATTACTATTAATTTGTTCTGTTCTTGTCTTTTCCTATGTAAAATTTAAGTTAATGTTCCTACTTTGGATGTCTCCCAAAAGATAATATTATTATGTACAATGGGATTATGAGATCTAAAGCTATTCTGCTTTTAAATTGTTTAAAGCTGTAATATATGTAAAATAATTGAAGGACGATCTTTAGGAATAAAAAATAACATGTTAGTTTAGGTCAAGGATGTGCTACTTTTGTCACTTTCTGATATCAGTATAACCATAATATTTTAAGGTAGATACATTCAATAAAATAAACTTAAAATCGATTTTAGTCATACATCAAATTATATTATCGGTATTCAAATATCATTGAGTAAAAATTAAAATCTTAATGTTTAAGACATTGTTTTAAAAATAAAATAAAAATATTCCACGTTATTTCACACAGTTAATAATTAATTGAGTACTTAATTATTAACCATTAAATTAGTAAAGACAAAATAATGATTTTAAAATTAAAACTTAAAAGGGTTTTATGCAATCAATAACACTTATTATGTCATTAATAGTGTTCAAATTATTAAATATGTTCAATAAATGTGAAACGTCTTATCTAATTTATAATCTCCATGTATATTATGTAATAATAACATACTCATCATCTAAATAGTGATACACTGTTATTTAAAATGTAAACAATTGTACTAACATAATTTATCTCGAAGCAAAAATTGAATGGCTTAAATCTTAAGTTATTAATTTATTATCATTCAATCATTGTAATAAATACATAACTTAGAATAGATTATAAAAATTATTAATTATTAATATTAGTTACAATATTCAATCATTGAATAATAAAAAAATGATATTGCAGCATTGACATTGAAAATATTGCAGCAAATATCTATATGATTTATTGATTGATATATCTAGTTATTTCGCATTACTTACAATTTGTATGTAATTATCAATTCAGTCGTTATCAAATATTAATTTATTTTCATTTACACGAAATTGCAATTTATAAATAAATTAAAAACTTGATTTACTCTTAAAAGAGAATATTGTCAATTATCCCGTTTTCGAATTTCCCCATCAGCAATGACCAACCAATTACAAAATTATGCAATTGCACTTTTTCCTCTTAATCGTTGTATACAAATCGAATACCAATCATCTTATTTTACGTTATGCAATTGCAACGTATTATAAAATGAATTACAAAAAAAAAAACAAGTAAAATGTTTACTAACTATACAACATTTCTTA